TACCACTGAGCTCTCTCCCCAGCTTTATCATATTGATTTCCTATTGTCCTTTTTCCCTAATTTTTTTCCTGATAGGACAGATAAGTGGTTCAATAGGAGCATATATGTGTTTGTCCTAGAAGCTGTAGGTGCCCTCTCTCCTTTGTGAATTTAATATTTAATTCACAAAGAAACATTTGTCCTTGTGCCTTCTGATATTCTTCTGTGAGCTTTAGGTGAAAGTGTTAACATTTGAGGATTTTATACTCTGATGTCAGGGATCTAAGCGCTTGTGAAAGGCGGCACAACTGCCAGGGACAAGTGGACAGTTTAGAAATGAGGTCAGGACAGAGCATGGGCTTCTCAGACTTCGCTGAGCATGGGCATCACCTGGGGGCAGTTTAGGTCCAGACTAATTCAGCAGATGGTGGAGGGCCGAGACTTACTGTTCTAACCGCCTTGTTGGTGATCTTCACATGTAGATCTAGGAATACTATGAGTATTAATCAGCTGTGACCAGATGTCATTTGTGGCTGTGTCCTAATACTTGAGGAAGACAACGTAAATGGAAGCAAGGTTTATATTAGCTCCTAGTTCCTAAGGTCTCCTTCCATGGCAGGCTGGCTCCGAGGCAGAGACACTGTGGTGGGATGATGATTCAGGGATAAGCAGCTCAGCCCTCGGCAGCCAGGAAGCAGCAGCAGAAGGGGCCGAGAGCCCAGTACGGCCCCTGCTGCAGCGCCGTGACTCCCCCGTGCACACCCAGAAGCGCGCCTGACTGATCGCCAAGGCAGCTCTCAAGGCAGCCAAGCCCACAGTGGAGATGAGCCAACCCGAGCAGCAAGTATTTTTAGAACTCAAGACCACTGTACAGATGTAAAATCTCCTCTTGAAAAGTCTTTGCTGATTCAGGACTATGGAAAGGGAAAAGGTGATAGTTTGTACTGTAAGTGGGTCGAGGCCAAAGGGTAGGTCTCGCCAGCGGTATCTAGCCTACTGGCTCATGAAGGAGGCATAGTGCCCCCCCCCAACTAAAGTGTGGGGTTGAGAATACTCTTCCTCTCTTCTATTTTAGCACTTTTGGAAGTGTGGAAGTCTATAATTTGGATCCAAGGAAGGTCCATACGGTACAAGCGTGGGTGATGCATGACGTCGGAGAAACTTCCAGGTAAATCTTATTCCTGCCAACCCAGGAAACCTTTTCATGAGTTATCACACAAAAGAACGCATGCTCAGAAGGACACACTGGGGCCCAGTGCAGAAAACAGACTCCAGCTCAGGAGAGGAAGGGTGCCTTACCTTTAGCCCATCCCGTCCACCTCTTCATTTATCTCTTCATTTATCTAGATGCTAGCTCACCCCTTCGGCTCCCTGCTGACCTGAAATCTCTTCAAAGACTTCTGCTCCATCTCTTTACCCCAGGGCTTTGCCTAGAACTTCCTCCAGTGAAGAAGCTAAGTAGCCTTGGGAGGTGTTTGAGACATTCTGCTATTTTAACTTCTTCATCTTTCTTCCCCAGTAACTCATGCTCAAGTGTCTCCATTAATGAGCTGAAGTTGATTGTGAGTAAAAGGAACATGACATTCACCTGCCAGAATAACTACAGGTAAGTGTTTTCAAAGAAACCACTCTCTTGCCCTCTCTGGCTGCCTCGCCTTTCCCTGGTCTCCTCTGAGCCCGGAGCCCTGGCGGGCTTTGACGGTGATGTCTGTCTCTCTACCAAGCCTGGGTCAGGAAGTTTTTTTCTGAGGGCTTTAGCTGGCCACCTTCTCCCCACACCCTCTTCCCTTGCTGCTAGCCCCCAGCAGTGACCTGCCCCTGAACCTGGCCCAGCCTTTAAGGGCCTGTCTGCTGGCTTCTGGAGAGAGTGGTTCTGGCCAGGGCTGAGGCAAGTGTTGCTTTTCAGGGCAGCAGAGCCAGGTTGGCCAAGACCTATCTCTCACCTTGTGAAGGCCTCAGAACTTGGCATAAATAGGCGTTGACATCTCTTTAGGTAGATCTGGGTGTACATGCCTAATACTTGGCAAGTTCCTACCAAGATGCCTAATGCTTGGCAAGTGGCAGTCTATTAACATTTGCCTTTGTTAAATAAAAGAAGTAAAAATCTTAAAGCAAATGCTTAATATCACAGACAAGTACTGTATATATTTATTAAAATCACTATTTACTTTGCTTTCAAAACTGGGACCTCTTCTTTTTTTTTTCCTATCTATCTATCTATCTATCTATCTATCTATCTATCTATCTATCTTCCAACCCTCCATTCACTTGTAAGTACTTCTGGTCAAGAATATAGGTGGGAAACATGACTAAAGCATCTTTGGAGCTTCTCCTGTGTATGATAACTTAGAAAAACAACTAATTCAGAGGGGAAAATTTTTTTGAAGACTGGAGAAGCTGAGCTGCGAGGACACTTTTTCTGTAGTCTCATGCCATCCATCATATCGCTAAGGCAGACAGACAGACTCAATGACTCTTGTTTTCCAAATTCTGTACCATTCAGCTGGCTCCTTGCTGGGCACTGCCAGAGAATCACACACACACGCTGCAGCCGTAGGATGCAAACGCAGAATGAGCTAGGGAACGACGGTCGAAGGAACTGGTCAATCAGACCATCAAAGACGTTTTACATGGAGAAAACAGAGTTCTAGGGCTGGTGGTGTAGCTCGGGGGCTAAGCACTTGCTTAGGTAAGTGCAGGGCCAGGGTTCGATCCCTGGCACCACATGCCTCACCGGCCCCACCCCCAGGAGTGCTGAGCCAGTGATGGAGTCCCAGCACGGTGGTATATACATGCCTGTAATCCCAGGACTAGGCAGGCAGAAATCAGGAGGTTCACTACAAGTCTGAGATGTGTAATGAGGCCTTGAACAACAACAACAAAAAAAAAAAAAAAAAAAAAAAAAAAAAAAAAAGAAAGAAAGAAAAAGAAAAACCTTAAAGAAAAAGAAAAGAGTTCTAGGAGCCCAGAAAAGACTGTGGAATGAAGGGCTCTTCCCAACAGTCTTTTTTTTCCTATCTGAAACATTTCCACGCCTCTCATTAATGGCCAGAAAGCACCAATGCTTTCACTTATGCTCAGGTGAGCTTATTAATTCTCCATCTGGGATGAGTACGTAGACCCAGGTTTCCCTTGGACTTGGACGGAGGCTCCTTCATGAGCCCACACCAGGCACCTCGAGTGTCAGATCCTGTGACCTTAAGTGTGGAGAGCTAGTAAAATCTCTGCTAGCTTTCTCTGACCAAGAGGACTATTGTATTTGGCATGACTCTCTGGGCCACAGTGGCGATGCCCAAGTGAGGACCTCTTGTTGCGAGTTGTATTGCTTTGGAGGATGGGTGTTTGTCTCTAGGGGGGCCCAAAGCTGGTGTTATGGACTTAGACTTAGAGCGTAGTCCCATGATTTCCATCTCTTCATCCTAAATGTACCATTCTGTTTCAGAAAACTTCCATCCAGCTGCCTAGGATGAGTATTTCATGGGAGGTGTAATTACACTCACACAGGTTGGACTTCCTTATGATTCTGACATTACTGCTTAATGAATCCCACTATTCCAAGAAAACCCTAGGGACATTTGGCTTTGTGTCCATTAGGAATTTTCCTTTCTTTCATTACACATACTCACTCCTAACAGAATACGTACAGAATTTATGAACATAGGTTTTAGCCAGTGGAGGAATAGCAATAATCATTTTGGGGGGATTCCCATAAAAACAGCAAATGCTCAGCATGTGCTCTCTAGCTGGCGTCTCCTAGTTGGACACACAAAAGTGACACCCACAACAATAAAATGTCCCTCTTAAAGAGTGCATGAATTTCTCTACCACTTTAAAATATGCTCTGGGTCTATCCTTGAAAATATCACCCAACAGATGAGCGGTGCATCCATTTTATTAGAACATTAGATGTATCTACATGTTTATGGAGAGAAGTAACACTATAACAACATAATTGCTGCTTCACTTCCCAAAAATCAGAAACTATAATTAAACATAATCATATTTCTTCATTGAATATAAGGCAAAAAGTAGGTTCTGAACTCCTGACTGGCCTAGACAGGCTCCTTTTCCTTGGGAGAGAGAGCTCCGTGAGGAAGTGACACTCTCTCTGCCTAGAATGTATTCATGTGGGGAGTCCCGGCTTACCGTATTGGTAGGACAAAGTGACTTGGCACCTCCAGCCACAGTGCCCAGCTGGCCAAGGGCAGCTTTTGGCACTTCTCTCTCCCAGAAGATACTGCCTTCTAATGCTGTCTTCTTCCTGGCATGTAGCAAAATCAGATTTAACTACAATTTAATGGATGCTTCCCTCCTACCTATCCCACCCTAGCTGTGTAGCAGCCACTCTCTTTGGCTTTTATCTCATATTTATGTAAAGGATGGTGTTTTACCTGGTGGATACTTATCTCAAGTTTGTTCTATGCAAAAGAAGTCAGGTAGCTCAGCATGGTGGTGCTGGTGCGTGCCTATAAGCCCAGCACTCCAGGAGAGTGAGGTAGGATTGCAAGCTGGAAACTGTCCTCGGTGGCTAAGGGAGACTGTTTCAAAATAAGAGAGGAGAAGAGGACAGGAGAGGGGAAGGGAGGGAAGGAAAGGGGAGAGGAGGGCAGAGAAGGTGAGGAGAGAAGAG